AGAACAAATAGTAATATTTAAAATAATGTTTATTATAATAAAAATATAAATGTAAATATTTTTAATATTAAAAGTATCATTATTATTACTTATGTTCTTAATAGTTCATATTTATTTAAATGTTACGTAGTACTATTTTAAATATGTTTAATATTATGATATTATTTATAATATTTTTTTTTTATCTTATTAAATGTGCAGAAAAGTTACAACTGTTGGTAATAGCTGATGAAAGTTTGATGACAACTCTCATAAAATTCTCCAGTCCCCTCTGCTGACTTACTATACAAATGACATGTAGCATCACACAGGAAGTTACCTGTCTCTCCTTCTGTTACCGTGGCAACCTGTGCTGCATCAGCTGCCCTCCTCACTTCATTGGTTAATTCCATCCCTTCAGCCTGTGATGAGTTCACTGATGCTTGCAGGCTCTGCCTCCTCTGCCAGATTTCGGCATCTTCCTCCCCCTCATTGCCTGCCTCACTGGAGTTCCCCTGCTCAGGCTGTTTAACTGCTGTGGCTCCGCCCCCTTCACTAGCTGCATTGCTGGCAGATGCTGAGGACTCTGTGACTGTAGCGGCCTCTGATGATCCTTCTTCCCCAGTGATCACCTTGGGTGCAACTCCTTCCTCATCCTGTAAGAAAAGTATTATATGATGCAAAGGAAGAACTACATAGCAATATAAATTGGCAAAATGATGATGATGATGATGATGATGATGATCATCATCATCATCACAAGACGCTGCTCAAGTGATTTAATGTAGAAGATTTTTATTAATCAAAATATGAATTAATCAAGTTCAATCATTGTGAATATAGCCATTTATGTATCAAGGTATTTTACTAATATAATCATGTATTTCAGGGGCGTCATGCACTCTTGACTTTTGAGGGGGCACGTGGGGGGGGGGGGGATGCTTGTCATGTGACACACAGCAGCCACGATAGCACTGTATAACTGATATATAGGCTTACATTTTATTTATTTTTTCCAACCCTTTTTTTCGAAATATTTCCAAACGTGTTAACTACAGGAAATATCTTGATTCTCAAATATGTGTAGCCTAAGTAAATGCGTTTTGCACCTTTATAGATTGTTATTTGATCAATAAATGATGATGGGCAAAGTAGAGTAATAGTGTAATCTATTAACTACACATAAAACCCCGACTTTTTACTTAAGTTCCAGATAGGGTGTATTACACTGTGAAATGAATATCTTTCTTACATTTGTACGCACATCTGCACTTTTTTGTTTCTGATGAGAGAACTCGCCAGATAATTCAGTCAGCGAGCAAGTGAACAAAACACCGCGTTTCAGCGATGACTCATCTGAACGTCACTGATTGGCCGTTGCATTCATAAGCTCAATAGCATCGTGTGTGATTGGTTATAATGCAGCGCTGTACAAACGCGTCTGTCTCAGGCTCAGCGCCAGCCAGCGAACACAGATTTGAATTTAGCAGCTGATGCTGTGCTGCACTGAACTATCTAATCACACCGGTGTTATTGTATCAAATATAAAAAAAATATTACTCTATTTTTTGTCTTTTGGAAGCTGCTGTCAGACTCTGTTCCATGTTTTGCGTGTGTCCTGCTCCCCATGTGCCTTCCCATGCCCTTATTTGGTTAGTTTCCTGTTCCTCCCCTGATTAGTGTTTCATTGCTCCCAGGTGTGTCTCGTCATCCCCTCCTCCTGTGTGTATAAATAGTGTTCCCTGTGTGTGCTCCAGGGTCTATGTGCACTTTAATATATTTTAATGTTACACCTTCTTATATAAAATAAAACAAAGCAAAGAACAAGTGTCTTATTTATTATACTACATAGCATTATACATCAGTAGTTGTCCGCAACAAACAATGTTGATCTGCCGTTGTACAAGTCCTTGTGCAGATTGAAAGAATGCCATCATCTCCTGTTCCGTTGTTGTCTCCTTTTTGTAGTTTTAAATAATAATTTAATATTGATTTGCCGCCGTCACGGCTATAATGCGTCTCCGACGAGCCGCTTCTTCTTTGGCTTTTGCCGTGGTACTGCGGGTTACACCAGCAACATGCCCGTGGACACTGCTGACTAGCGGTTTGCATGTGTACTGCACGTTGACGCGG